CTCATACTCCGTGTGACTATGAGCTGCTCTCATACTCCGTGTGACTACGAGCTGCTCTCATACTGCGCTCACAATGTTGTCCATGCACATATCCACCACACACTTGCACTCACGTCGCACAACCACGCCTTTGCTCAATCCTGCACCCCTCCCTTCAATCCGCCCACTCTTTGGTGCAGAGCGTGATCCTGGCGCGGGTCGGCTGTCTGCTCTGTTTGTGCTGACGCAGCTCGCACACCAGACCCCCGACGACTTTGACGAAATCATCCTGCAGTCAAGCGACGTCGTCTCTTTCTGTGACAACATGTTCGAGGCAATCTTCGACAGCAAGGTGCCTCCGCTGGCATGGTTGCTCGGGGCATTCGGTGGTCGTACATGTGCGCGTGTTCGCATGTGATCGTGTATCTGTACTTGAGCTTTGTGATGAATTGCTATTTGCGTTCTTGCGTGCAAGTGCATACGCGTGTGTGGCCGCATGACCCACCCCACCTGCACCCACCTGCACCCAATTCTTCTCACCGCTGCCTCCTCCCTCTCCTCCCACTCTTCTCAACCCCCCTCTTCCCCCGCTGTTCACAACCCAGAGCGAAGTGCGAGAGGCCGGCATTGAGCTGCTGAAGGAGGTGATAGACGTCAGTCTGCGCCGGGATTCGCACACGCGCGACTCGCTCTACCACGCCATCTTCAAGAACATCAACGCGGGCCTGCACCGCAGCCGCGAGGAGAGGTGCGGCAAAGACACACACACACACACACACACACACACACACACACACACACACACACACACACACACACACACACACACACACACACGCCACTGGTGTTGTCGTGTGCGCAATGTGGACGGGCGGTTTGTGCTTGTGTGTTTGCATGATGAGTGCATGTTGGATGCGTGCATGTGTGTGTGTGCGTGTTGTGCGTGTATGACCATGGGAGCCATTGGGCGCTCCACCACCAGCAGCCATCTCATATCACCACTTGTTCTATCATCACCGCTGCCGCTGCCGCCCATCAGTGTGCATGGTGCGCTGCTGGCGCTGCTGGCTGCTGCGAGTGCACAGATTATGATTGGCGACATCCACCTCGTTGTCAAGGTTTGTTTGCCTGCATGTACATCACACGCGAATATGGGATGACCGCACTTGTGTCATTAGCTTTCATACCAGGGTGCAGACCCGGATCTCGCAAGCACATACCCGCACCCGTTTGTACCACCCCCCCCCCCACACGCGCGCACTTGACTCTGCTCTCACGCTATCAAACGCACACACATGCACACACATGCACACACATGCACACATGCACACACACACACGCACACACGCACGCACACACGCACGTACGTACACACGGTCGGTGAGCAGACGTACGATGAGGCGCTGCTGTATCTTGACCGGAGCAGTGCACTGCAGCACGAGGCCGTCCGTCTCGTGCCCGTTCTCGCCGCATCCGTCAGGCCCCTCCTCAAGCGAGGTCACATGCGACAGTGATGGTGCATGATGGTGGTGGTGGTGGTGCATTAGAGCGTTGCGTTGTTGTACTGTCCTCGGGTCACACGGTGGCTGCTTGCCGTTTTAGTGCCGAAGAAGTGCCAAGTGATGTTACATGTTCATCTCATCGTACTCACATCACATTCATTCAATCACCGCCACCACCGCCACCACCGCCACCACCAGATATGGACGTGAATGCGCTCCCCGCTGCGCACCGCCGCGTGTCCTCTGGTGTCATTCGCCAGCGCATCAGGAGCGTCGTCTCCGAGGAGCAGATGGTGCTGCTCCTCTGCCAATGTGTTGTGTTGATAGGGGGCGTTGGAAGGGGTTGTATGCGTGGGCATACGTGTGTGCGTGTGTATGTGCGTGTGTGTGCGTGTGTGTGTGCGTGTGCGTGTGCGTGTGTGTGGAGATGTACTGTTGTGTGTCCGTGCGTGTGGTATGTTCAACACGTATCATCTTCATCACATGACCTGCTTCAACACGCACACAATTGTACACTCACATCACTCATACACACACACGTGCGCAACACCGCTGTGCTTTGGTTCAGGTGGAGAACCTGTGGGGCCGGCTGCAGTCGAGTGTAGCGCTGGTGGTGAAGGTGATGGCCAAGGAACGCGACCACCCCGTTGCTCTCCAGGCCCTCGGTGCGAACTTGTGGCCATGCTTGATGTGATCTGTGGTGGTGCACGCTCGTTGCTTGTTTGCTTGTTGTTGGTTGAAGCGAAGAATCGTGATGATGCGTCATTCGCTTCCATCACCAACATCAACCTGACTCCCGTTGTGGCGCTGTTGTGCGCGTGTGCGTGTGCGTGCGTGCAATACACCAGGTGACCTTGCCCTTGTGCTCGGCAAGGGCATCAAGCCGCATCTCAGCGCAATTCTCGACCGAATTCGTTCCATCTACTCCGCCAGTGCGTTCACAGCAGCATCATGCCCACCGCTTGCCGTGCACTGTGTCATCTTGTGCACAGCACATCCACGTGTTATGCGCTTGCCTTCCCTCCCCCCTTGTTCCCTCAGCCTTCTCAACGTCCACCACCACCACCACCATCTTCTGCAGGCAAGCGCGCCAAGCCGGCGATGCTAGACGCCGCCAACGAGTGCCTTGGCCGTCTCGTCGTTGCGCTGGGGGAAGCTCTCGCACCAAGCATCGAACCCATGCTCGGTACACTGTACATTGCACATTCTTGCAAGCAATCTGCGGTCGTATTGGGTTGTAATGTGTGATTGTATTTGCGTGCGCGCGCGCACGTGTGTGTGATTGCGTGCGATTACGTGTTGGGTGTTGCATTGTGCGTGTGTGTGTGTGGTCCGCTGCACGTTGCGTTTGGCTTGGCTCTACCGCGCTGTGCTCATCACCGCCACCATCACCACCGCCGCCACCAAACATCGGTTTCCAGCGACCATCTTCGAGGACAATTTGCGGGATTCCGTTTTCACCGCTCTACAGGATATTGTCGACCACATCCCCTCCCTCGTGCACCGCGTCAACGTGTGTGCATGTGTGCCGTGTGCATGTGTGTGTGTGCCGTGTGCAAGAGTGTGTGTGTGTGTGTGCCGTGTGCAAGTGTGTGCATGTGTGTGTGTGTATATGTGCCTCTCTGCCCGTAGTGTGACCCATCCCACCTCACCACGTCAACCACCCTCCTCTTTGCCCGCCCGTGTGCACCACACCATAACCGTGCACAGCCGCTTGTGCTGCGTAAGATTCGCGTCAGTCTTCGCGAGCTGGTCACCAGTCCCGAATCTTTCCAGCAGTCTGCCGCCGTCAGCACGTAAGTTTGTGTGTTTGTTGTGTGTGTGTGTGTGTGTTTGTTGTGTGTGTGCGAGTGCGTTTATTTGTGTGTGTGTGTGTGTGTGTTTTGTGTGTGTGTGTGTGTCTGCGTGCATGTTCAACTTCATCGGTTGTGTGCAGTACTTACGCCATTACCACCGTACATCTAACCATCGCCAACACCACCACCTCACACGCCACCCCCATTTACCCCCGCCCTCCTCCCAATCCTTCTCCCCCGATCACCGCAGGCAAGATGCAGATGCGCTGCTGGTGATTCTGCGGCAGTTGGGCAAGTTCCGCTTTGGCCCGGGCGACCAGAGCCCCCGATACGAGGTGCGCACGAGCATGTGTGTATGTGTGTATGTGTGTATGTGTGTATGTGTGTATGTGTGTATGTGTGTATGTGTGTATGTGTGTATGTGTATGTGCGTCGCTTTAAGTTTACACACGCTCTCTCGTTGTTGCCCCTTTGTTATCTCATCAACTGCTCACTCGCTCAATGCATCATCACTACATCACCCCCTCCCCGTCCCCATCGCAGCTGCTGCTGACCTTTGGCCGTGATTTCCTGCTGCCGATGCTCGACACCCCCAACGACACTCTCCGCACAGCCGTCTGCCTCGCATGTGCGCGCTTGCTCGTCACAGAGGACCCGGAGCGCGGTGCTGCGTCTGCTGCAGACACCAAGCGCTCGTCGGCTGCTGAGCTGCGGCTGCTGCGGCTGTCGACGGCGCCCAAGCGAAAGGACCGCACGCAGAAGCAGCTGTCTGCTGTGCTCCTCCCAACACACGCGCATCAGCCCGTTCATAAGCGCGGCGAGAAGTCTGTGCTCTGCCGCGCTCTCATCTTTGAGGTGCGTCGTGCACGTGTGCGTGTGCGCGTTTGTGCGTGCGTGCGTGTGTGTGTGCGTTGCGTACACATGTTCGTTGTTGCGTACACATGTTCGTTGTTGCGTATGTGTGTGTGTGTGTGTTTGTTTGTTTGTTTGTTCGTCGTGCGTTCTCTTCTCTCTTCTCCTTCTCGGTGTGCGTGGTTGTGGCGCTTTTGTCTCATGTGAAATCTTGCCCCTGCCCCTCCCGTGCCCCTGATGTCTTTGCTTCGTCCGTGCATGTTTGAACGCTCCACAGGTGCTGTCGCCGCTACTGCGTGTGGTCATGGCCGACAACGACCGCAGAATTCGCATTCGCGTCCTCAGGTGTGTGTGTGCGTGCATGTGTGCACTGTGTACGTGTGTATCTGCTCATGTGTACGTTTGTGTGCGTGTGCATGCGTGTGCCCATATGTGCGTTTGTGTATTCAAAAGCCATCACAGTATGTCACTGTCGACGTTCTCACCATACGGCCTTTGTAACCGACCCCCTTCCCCTTCCCTCCTTTCTGAAGGCAACTGAACCACCACTCCCTTGACGAGGACATGTGTGAGGGCGAGATGTTGGATGCGCTCGCGTCCCTCATGCACGACGAATGGCTGCTCATCCGCATGGAGGCAATATGTACGCCCGCAATGCCCTCGTCATTGCATGTGCACATGCACGTGCATGTATGTGCGTGTGTTTGTGAATGCACGTGCGTGAATTTGTGTGCATGTGTGCGTCCATGTCAGGCGTTACGAAATCGCAACCGCTCACCACCACCACCACCACCACCACCACCACCATCCCCAGCCATCCTGGGCCGGCTTGTCGCGCACCGCCCTGGCCGCGTTGTTGAGGAGCTGCGCCAGCGGCTGCTGACGGTCCTGGTGGAGATACAATCCCTTATTGCCAGTCGCGAGGCCGCAGCAAACGCGGAGGCTGCACACCCGCGATCCGTCATGGGCCGGTACGGTGCTGTGTCACGCTGCTGCTGTGGTGTGTGTGTGTGTGTGTGTGTGTGTGTGTGTGTGTGTGTGTGTGTGTGTGTGTGTGTGTATCTGCTTCGTCCTCCGCCTCCTCGCTCTTCTCATCATCCCCTTCTTCACCTCCCCCTCTTGTTTCCAAGGTCCACTGCGGCCAACACGGGCGACCGGCAGATCAAGGACGCCATCTATCTCCTGCGCCACGTCAGCCGCGCCTCGCAGGTCGTGGCCCGCGCACACACGCGCGCCATCTGGGGGGTGCTGGAGCCCCTCGCGCGCATGCGCCTCTTCTCTCCGGCCGTGCGATCTTACACGCTGGACGTGCTTGGGGAGCTGGCGCTGGCCTGTGGCGACAACGACGCATTTGACATTGACTGCGTTGTGGAGTTGTTCCACACGGTGATGCGCGAGCAGACCATTTCCTCGCGCCGCCGCGCCGCCGTCCTGTCACTCGGCAACCTCATCCAGGGCACGGCGTACCCAGCAGGCATGCAGAGGCACGCACCAGCACTCTTCCACACGATGGGGGATCTGCTGAAGGTCGAACAGGCGCGGGATTTCCGCATGGCCGTGCTGCGCACCATGGGAATCCTTGGCTCCATCGACCCGATTGTGGTGGAGAAGCACATCAAGGCGCTTGCAGCCGGCAGCGGCAGCGGCAGTGGTGGTGGCGCGAGCAACGTTGTTGTCAACAGCACATGCAGTAGTGCGCAGCAGCTGGCCTCGTCGCTCCTGTTTACAGAGCTTGATCTCCATGCGAAGAAGGGTACCGACCACTTCTGCATCGCCTCTGCCATCAACGCACTTGTCCGCGTTGCGCTCGACCCCGCTCTCGTCCGCCTGCACCAATACGTCATGCGCGCATTCATGGTCATGCTAAAGTGAGTGAGTGCCCTGTTCGGTTTGCGTGTTGTTTGTTTGTTTGTTTGTTTGTGTGTGATGTTGAGTTTGTGTGTGATTGTGTGTGTGGTGGTTTTGTGCGGTTGTGTCTGCTGCGTAGCTCGTGTGTGCGTCAGACTCGTCGTTATGTGTCGCCACACGCGTACATGCGAATATGTGTGTGTGTGTGTGTGACGTCACAACTTCTCGCCACTCACCATGGTCGCGTGCATCACCTGCTTGTTCTCGTTAGGTTCCTGGGCGATCTTGCTGTCGACTATCTGCCGCAGCTCGTTCGCTCCAGCATCTACATGTTGTCGACAACGCAGGACACCGCCAACGCCACCGCATCTGTTGATCTCTACATGCAGGGCCTTGGCCAGATTGCAGCCGTTGCAGGCACAAGCATCCGCCCTTTCCTCGCTGAGGTCCGTGTGTGTTGCATGTGTGTGAATGTGTGTGTCGGTGCGTGGTGCGTGTGTGAATGGACGTTTGTGTTGCATGTGTGTGAATGCACGTTGTGTTGCATGTGTGTGTGTGTGAATGCACGTGTGTTTACATGCATGTGTGAAATTTGAGCACATCAACAATTGAATCAATCCTCCTTTTGCACACTTGTGCTCGCTGCCTTTGCTCGCCGTTCTGCTTCCTTGTCATCCCTGCCCCATCCACCACTCACCAACCACCATCCACCAATGCCCAACCACCCTTGCTTGCGTCATGTGCAGCTGATGACGATTGTGGACGTGTACTGGACCAGCAGCGAACACGTGCTCTTCCTCCTCGACAAAATACTCACCGGCGCCGACGCCATTGACATCAGCGCGCACATGCCGCTCGTCTTTGCCAAGATCGAGGTGTGTTGGGCGTGGAGACTGCATAGCGATGGAAGGGAGGGTCGAAGGGAGGTCTGACTGGGTCGAAATGGGTGTGTGGCGTGCGTGTTTGCAATACGGGTATGCGTGTGAAGTGCACGTTCGGTGAACGTGTGTGTGTGTGTGTGTGCTTTTTGTGCCTCACCTCCATGCCTCCCATACGCTTGTTCATCTCGTTGTTCATGCCGCTGTGTACTCGTTCCTCCTCTCGTTCCTCCTCTCGTTCCAAACAGACGACGATTGACGCTGATCGAAAGGCAAAGAAGTACAGCAACACGCTGAAGCTTCTCACCACCATCGCCCGCGCCCGCGCCAAGTTCGCCCACCACCCACGCCTCATCCTCAGCGTGAGTGGCGACTGATGCCGATGGTTGTGGTTGGTTGTGGTTGTGGTTGTGGTTGTGGTTGTGGTTGTGGTTGTGGTTGTGGTTGTGGTTGTGGTTGTGGTTGTATCTACGCTTCTGGCTTGCAACGGCAGCCGTGGGGTTGATCACTGTTGTGGTTGCGGCGATGCCGCGTGAGTGCCATCACTCACAGGAGCACATACATACCTTGCATGCTGTTTGCTTACACGATTACACACTTGCAACCCCCTCCCCCCCCCACACACATAAACTTCATCCACAACCCCATAATCCACTATCTCAGGTTGTTGCGCGTCTTGTGTACGACACGTCCTTTCCCGAGTCTGCGCGCGTGACCATTGGCCAGCGGGCATTGGAGTGTCTCATGTACATCGCCATCGACCTGCCTCTCAGGAACGAGGCGCCTATCCTCATCCACCGCCTCGGTTAGGGCGTGTGCGTGTGTGTGTGTGTGTGTTCGTGTGTGTTCGTGTGTGTTCGTGTGTTGTGGTTGTTTGTGTGTTTTCGTGTGTTGTGTGTGTGTGTGCGTTTGTGTTTTACATGTCCAGTGGTGTGTGTTCTTCATGCCATGCACTTGGGCACAAATCACCACACATTGTACTTGTTCAACACCACTTCACCTGTCACCAACATCGAACCTTCCTGTTGCCGCTCTTGTGACCTCTGTTGTTATCGCTGTTGTTGCTGCCAGTGCGGGCGCTGCGCGTGCAGTCGCTGCAGAAGGATGCTCTCCTGCTCATCTCGCTGCTCATTACGGAGATGGGTTCTGAGTTCACCACGCTCGGGTACCTGAGCTGCGTGCAGAGCACCGTTGTGCAGATGCACATCCAGTCTGATGACTACAACCGCACCCTGCAGGCACTCAACTCCGACAACTGCTTCCCAGACATGAAGAAGGTGCGTGTGTGGTTAGACGGGTGTTTGTGTGCTTCTTTTCAATCTCCCACGCTTTCCCTTTTTCGATCTTTGCACACGTGGACACACATACACCACACACACATACAACACACACACACACATTCACCACATACACCACGCACGCACGCACACACACGACACACACAACACACACACATACACACACACCACGACAGGAGATCAAGGTGACGCTGTCGGAGCGGGTCATTGCGCAGACGGTGGAGCCGAAAGGAAAGGACGAGAGCAAAGCGCCGCGCTCGCTGTATGCGAGTCTGGACCAGGAGACCATCAGGGCGGCGTGGGAGATCTCCCCAAAGGCGTCGTCGCAGGACTGGCAAGACTGGCTGCGTCGCGTCACGCGCGTGCTCATTCGCAATGCGCACTCGACTGCCATCCGGGCGTGCAGTAAAGTGGCAGAGCTGCACCCACCGACAGCGAAGGAGCTCTTCCACGTCGCCTTCATCTCATCCTGGCCAGGTGCAGTGGAAGCAGAGGCGTGAGCATGTGTGTGTGTGTGTGGTGTGTGTGTGTGTGCGCGCGTGCGTGTGTGTGTGCATATGAGCATGTTCGTCTGTGTTTGACTCTCCTCACCACCGTCATGTGTTGTTTCAGTTTGGGTCCACTTGTGCATGACACGCTTCTTCACCTCCCCTTGTCTACCACTTAACTTGCTGCCACTGCTGCTGCTGCTGCTGCTGTTGCTGCTTCTGCTGCTGATACAGCGCTGTATGGAGACATACAGGACGACCTGATCCGGCCGTTCCAGCAGGCCATGGTCAGCGTCGACTACACCCCGCGCGAAATCCAGCAGGTGTCCGCACACACGCACACACGGGCATGCATTTGCACACGAGCGTGCACACACACACACACACACACACTCACACACACACATACGCACCCATTCACACACTAACCCACTGCCACACAACATTCATACTCGATGCGCGCGCGCGTGCACACTGCAGGTTGTGCTTGAGCTGGCTGAGCTGGCGGATTTCATTGACCAGGGCCGCCTTCCGCTCTCCCCACACGACCTCGCGGAGCTCGCCATTAAGGTGTGCACATGTGTGCTCTGTGTGTGTGTGTGTTTGTGCGTGTTCATGCGGCTTGCCTGTGAGTACAGATGCAGCTTACTGTGGTGCGTTTTACTCACTGAGACCCTCACCCCCGGCTTTGTCGCTCTGCTCTCACGCCACCACCACCACCACCACCACCCACATCATCATCATGTTCATCGTTGTCGTCATCACCATTACTGTTCCAGAACCGCTCGTTTGCAAAAGCGCTGCGCTACAAAGAGCACGAGTTCTACTTGCTGACAACTGGGTTCGTTCGTGTGTATGCGTGTCTGATGTGTGGTTTTCTGTTGAGAGTCGCGTGAACGTGTGTGCCGATTGCTCCTCTGATGCAACACGCCCGCACATACACACATATACATCCACATGCATACACCTACACACCTACGACACGCATTAACTTACTGTCTTGGTTGCGTGGTTTCAGGGGCATTTTGGAGGCGTGGTCTGTGATTTTGGAGCAAGAGAAATTGCACGCGCAGTCGCCTATGGAGGAACGCGAAATGGAAAAGACAAAACACACGGAAGTGCTCAATTACTACAACGTTCGCCTGCCGAGTGACGACGACAAAAAACGCCGCGTCACTGATGTGCGTGATGTGCGTTTGCGTGTTCTGTTGCTCTTTGCTTAAGTTTGTTTCACTTGGAAACCCCCGTGCCGCACCTCTTATTACTCACGCTTACACACACACACACACACACACACACACACACACACACACACACACACACACACACACACAACACACAACACACACACACATGCATGCGCACAGGACATGAACAATGCGCAATACCTCAAGTTTGATCCCGCTGAGAAATTGGCTGCGTGTGTTGCGCACCTCATCTCCATCAACCACAATCTCCTCCAATCAGACGCGGCGTCCGGCGTTGTCCGCCACGTTCGCATTGCCCACGACTCCCTTCCGCTGCGCATCGGGGTGCGGCTCGCTTGCAAGCGTGTGTGTTTGTGTGAGTGTGTTTGTGTGAGTGAGTTTGTGTGTGTTTGTGTGTGTGTGCTTGTTCGTTGTAGTAGCTGTGCGGCCTTGCTTGTTCGTGTTCACCCCTCCTTCCTTCTCTTTCCATGGGCAGATGGCTGGCTTCTACTCTCCGCAGCAGCGTTTCGCCTGGCAGGAGGCCCTTGACGGGTGCGTTCACCTACACACGTGTTGCTGGCGTGACTGCATGCGTGTGTGTATGCGCGTGTGTGTACGTGTACTAAGAGTTGTATCCGTAATCCCTCTCATCACACACACACACACACACACACACACACCACCACCACCACCACCACCACCACCACCACCACCACACCACATACCACACCACACATACCACTACACCACTGCGTGCGTGCAGCAACCTGTCTGCGACGTCCAACACGGACGAGCGCACGGCGTGCCTGAACAGGATGGAGTGCTATCACGCCCTTGGCGAGTGGAAGGCCCTCGCCGCTGAACTCGACGGGTGCGTTGCTTACGTGTTTGTTCCTGAACGTGGTGGGTGGGGTTGCGTGAGTATGTATGATGTGGGCGACTAGACTCTTGATGTGTGAGCCGTGCACTGCGCATGGCGTGAGCAATTGGTCACAGCTGTCACCTGCCACCCCTTCTCATCTCACCCGCCTCACAACCACCACCACAACCACCACCACAACCACCACAACCACCACAACCACCGTCGTGCCCACATATTTCCATGCCTCCCCCCTCCCAATAAGCCCCTGGCGCCCCTCAGCTTCCGAGACGCTCGACGGTTCAGTGCTGCTGCAGGTCGCAAAGCGCCGCTGCTCAGCCTGCATCGGCCTCAACGACTGGCCAGCGTTCACCAGAGCAGCAGATGCGCTCGGTGCGTGAATGCACATGTGTGCGTGTGTTGTGGAAGGAGGGGGGGGGGGCAATCTGCGATTGTCTTAGTCGTCTGTCTCCAATGTGCAACTTGCGTTTGGGCAAGTTTCACAAGGGCCTATTGTCTTCTTCCCACTGCAATTCCACCAACTTCAACCCTTGTTCCCTCCCCCATCCCTTAACTGTGGTGCCACTGCAGAGGGCGAGGACTACGAGAGCCTGTGCTACAAAGCCATGGCAGCCGTATACGCGGAGCGGTCGGAGGAGGCGCGCGCCCTCATTGCGCACTGCCGCTCGCAGCTCGATCTCTCGCGTGAGTCATCAGCTGATGCAGCAGTTGTGCTGTGGTCTTGCGCATCTTTGTTGTGTGAGATACTCGCCTGTGCTTGCAGCTTTCATCCTCATGCTATCAAACATTCGATTATACTGTCTGTGTGGCCTGTGCACACCACCTCACACAGATACACACCCTCTTCCACCCCTCTCATCCACGTCTACACGTCACACACACTCTCTCTTACATACACTCTCACTCTCACATTCACACAACACACGCCTGCATGACCCTTATCCCAGTGACACGGATGCTGTCTGAGTCATACGACCGCGCGTACCACAAGATCCTGAGCCTGCAGCAGCTGGTGGAGTTGGAGGAGGTGTCGTGCTACCGCGGCGCCATCGCTCGACAGGACACGGCCATGCAAAACACCATCCAGACGCTGTGGCAAAACCGCCTCTCGATGATTCGCGAGGAGACGCGCGTGTGGCAGGACGTCCTCAACACCCGACTCATGGGTGAGGGATGGAAGGGCGTTTTGAGGGCATGTGCATGTGGTGTGGTAAGGTGGTACAGGGAACAGGGTACGGGGAACGTGGAGGCGAACGTTTCGGGTGTTGTTCTCTGCGCGCCATGCACTTTGATGCCATCACAGATTGCGGTTTCGATTGCATGAATGGCATCGACACTGCCTCACCTCGTTGTTGTTGCTGCCGTCGCTGTTGTCTGGTGCAGTGGTGTCAATGGACGTGTGCCCGAAGACAATGCTGCGCTTTGCAGAAATTGCAAACGAACAGGTAACCATTGCGCAACGAGACGAACACTTGCGACGGCCAGGAGTCATAACACACGCATAATACACGCAATTGTTTGCTTCAGCCTTCGCATCTGAGTCTCTGAACACGTCACTTCAACTCACACGCCTTCGTGTGTGTGTGTGTGTGTGTGTGTGTGTGTGTGTGTGTGTGTGTGTGTGTGTGTGTGTGTGTGTGTGTGTGTGTGTGTGTGTGTGCGCAGGGCCGCCACCACGTCGCTGCGAGCGTTCTTCGGCGTCAGCTCAAAGGAAAAGACTTTTTGGAAGCCGATTTCGATTTCACAACCACCGAGCCAAACGTAAGCGTGCGTGCATGTGTGTGCGTGTGTTTCTCCGTACATGTCTCCACGCCCTTTGTCGGCCTGGCCACGGTCTTGCCAGATGTCATGCACCTGACCCGCTTGCGTACCTGCTGTGGTCGTCTTTGCAGTTTGCATTTGCGTGTCTGAAGCATCTCTGGATGACTGGGCAGCGCACCGAGGCGCTCAAGAAACTCGTCGAGTTGACGGAGGTGGGAAGAGCTGTACCTCTGTGTGTGCGTGCGTGTGCGATTGTGATTGCGGGTGTGGGCGTGCAGTTGATAATGTGTGCGTGTGTGTGACTGAAGCTTGAGTGGGAGAAAAACGAGCAATGACACTGTTTGGCACTTGACAAGACGCTTCCTCTCATTTCGTCTGTGCTCTTCTTGTCTTACACCTCACTCCCATGTTTTCTCACGTGTGTGTGTGTGTGTGTGTGTGTGTGTGTGTGTGTGTGTGTGTGTGTGTGTGTGTGTGTGTGTGTGTGTGTGTGTGTGTGTGTGTGTGTGTGTGTGCGTTTGTGTAGTGGATGGCTGTGCGCGGCGATTCGGATCTCGTCGCAAACGTCTTCTTCACGCACGGGTGAGCACGCGATGATGTCCCCAGCGCAGCGCGTTGTGTGTAATGACCACACACATGCGCGAGATCGCGCTGGTGTTTCACAAGCTTTCTCGCTCACGTCTGCATGCACTTGTGCGTGCGTGTGTGTATGTACTTGTGTGTGTATGCGTGCGTGTGCTTCATTAGGCAATGGAGTGAAGCGATTGAGACACAGAATTTCTTCGGCCAGCTCAAGTCAACAGGCGGCGCCGCCATCAAGGACCATCACAAGGGTGCGTGTGTTTTTGTTGTAGAGGCAAGCGATTAAGTCGTATCAAACACACGGCTTATTCACTTGCGGCTTTGCTCCTCCCCTCACTCCCGCACGCGCACAAACACATGTCCACCAACAGCGCGCCGGTTCAGCGAGCAGTTCAAGGACATTGGAAAGTTGTACCATCGGGCAGCAGACATGCAGCCGCAGTGGGCACAGGCATGGCACGCATACGCCATGGTCAACTTCAAGGCACTCAGTACGTCCCACCCATCGCAACTGCTTTGTTGTCACGCGCGTGCGTGCGTGCGTGCGTGCGTGCGTGCGTGCGTGTGTGTGTGTGCGTGCGTGTGTGTGTGCGTGCGTGCGTGTGTGTGTGCGTGCGTGTGTGCGTGTGTGTGTTCGTGTCGGAGAGTTGTTTTGTGTTCATGCACATGTTTTGAGATGAGAAGCAACAACGACTTCACTCACCTGTCCTTTAAGTTCACACACGCACACACACACACACACACACACTCTCACACATTCACACATTCACTCTCTCATATTCACACACACTCTCTCCTTCTCCTCCTCACCTCTTTACCCCCCCCTCTGCACCCCCTTGCTCCCGGTCGAATACAGACGAAATCCAGCGGTTGAGCCAGAGCGATCCCGTCGAGGCGGAGCAGCTGCCTCCAAAGCTGACCCTGCACCACGCCATTTCCGCCGTTCGCGGGTTCTTCCGGTCCATCAGTCTCCATCCGGGCTCGGCTGACTTGCTCCAGGACGCGCTCCGTCTCTTGGGCGTGTGGTTCTCCCACGGCGGCGACCCCATGGTGCTGTGCTGTGCTGTGCTCTTTGCTGTGCTGTGCTGTGCTGTGCGTGTGTTGTATTCTTTGTTTTGCTCTGGAATTGGCATGTTGTGTTGCCACTGTCATTTCCACTTCCTTGTGCAACCCCCATCCCGCATGGCATTTCCCGTCTCACTCCTTCACAACACTTAACCCCCCCCCCCTTCCCCACCCCCCTTGTGTCTTCATCCTTGTGCAGGTGCGGGCGGTGGTGAGCGAGGGCCGCGCGTCCGTCGACATTGACATCTGGGTTGATCTCATCCCCCAGATGATTGCGCGCATCGACCACTTCAACGACGACATCCGCAGGGTGCGCATGAGTGCTCGTGTGTGTGTATGTGTGTGTGAGTGTGTGTGTGTGTGGTGTGTGTGTGTGTGTGTGTGTGTGTGTGTGTCTGCATCTGTTTCATCTGTTTGTGTGTGTGTATGTGCAAGTGTCTGTTTGTGCAAGTGTGTGTTTCTGCACCCTTGAACGTGAAATGTGTTGGACCGTCAAGTTTGCATGCACTTCCATCCTGCAACCCTGCAACCCCCAACCATTCACTCCATTCACTCCATTCACTTTCCCTGCTTTCGCGTGGACAGGATACGCAAAACTGGCTGATTGAGATTGGCAAACGCCATCCACATGCGCTGGTGACGCCACTCAACGTCGCTCTCAAGTCGTCGCCGGCACGCGCGCAGATTGCAAAGGTGCCTGTTGGTCGACGTTCGAGAGGAGGGGAAGAGGTGTTTGTTGATGTGAATGAAGTATCACAGTCGATGGCTTTGTTGATGTGAATGACAACAGGCACCATCGCACACATGTGTATATTGTGTGCAGTCATTAACCACCGTGCCATCACAGCAGCAACATGGGTCATTCCTCCCACATAACACCTACCGCTCCTCTCTTTGTTAATGCTTTGAAAATTCCGCTGCAGAATGTGCTGGAGCAGTTGCGTGCGCACCATCCGCAGGTTATCTCCGACGCCACGCTCGTTGGGCATGAACTCATTCGCGTGTCGGCGCTCTGGCACGAGCTCTGGTACACCGCACTCACAGACGCCTCCCGCCTCTACTTTGAACAAGGTGACACGTGTGTATGTGTGTGTATGTGTGTGTGTGTGTTGCATTGTATGTGTGAATGTGTGATTGTGTGTGTGTGTGTGGGTGTGTGGATGTGTGGTTGTGTGTGTGTGGTGCGGTGTCTTGTGGTTTGGCGTGCCTCGCATTTTCACATTCAGCGGGAGCGCATTCGCGTGTGCGCGTGCTTTGCAAGGGGGTGGGTGCAACGCCACCATTGCCTGAACGTTGACTGATGCCTTCCTTGCCCGTGTTCTCGGCATCGCAGGCGACGAGCACGCGATGGTGAATCGCCTCATGCAGGCGCATGCACACACGGCCCGTCCGCTCACACCAAGGTTTGCAGCACATTGTCACCCCTCTCACCTGCAATCTCCCAAAAGCTCACGTGCACATGCCGCGAAGCACTGTGGCTCGTGTGTGTGTGTGTGTGTGTGTGTGTGATGATGATGATGATGATGATGATGATGATGAAGGAAGGTGCTCTCATCCAAGCACAAACTGACACGACACCATGGGGTGTACATGGCATGTGCAAACATGCGCACAGGGAGGCTGCGTTCCGCCACTCGCTCGGACACAAGCTCGACCAGGCGTTGCGGTTCCTCGAGCGCTTCAGACAGACAGGAAACGAATGCGACCTCCACGGCGCATGGTATGATGCTGCCGTGGTTTGCTTTGTGTGTGTGTACGTGTTTGTGCGTGTGTGTGTGTTGTCTGTGTATGCGTGTGCACGTGCGTGGGTAGATTTGATCCGTGTGTTGTGGACACGTGGTATCGCGGTGCGTGTTGCCAGTACGTTTCACCTACACTCACACGCACCACCACTACCATGATCGCCACCACCTCGTGTTGTGCTGCAGGGGCCTGTACTACGAGGCGTACCGGCGAATCACGAAGATGACGTCGCGTCTGCGCAGCATCGATCTCGCCAGCGCAGCCCCGCTCCTCACCAGGCGGCAGAACTTTGACATGGTCGTCCCAGGTGCGCTCCCGGGTGTGTGTGTGTGTTGTTGTTGTTGTTGTTGTTGTTGTTGTTGTTGTTGTTGTTGTTGTTGTTGTTGTTGTTGTTGTTGTTGTTGTTGTTGTTGTTGTTGTTGTTGTTGTTGTTGTTGTTGTTGTTGTTGTTGTTGTTGTTGTTGTTGTTGTTGTTGTTGTTGCATGTTCTGTGTGTGCATGTTCTGTGTGTGTATGTGCATGTGTGTTGTTGCATGTTTTCAATGTCCGCGATCAAACTGTACGCTCACGATTGTACTTCAACCCATCACCGCCACCGCTGTTCACAGGCATGTATCAGGTGAAGCCTGTTGAGCCCGTGCCGACGGTGGCCAAGTTCCTTCCGAGCGTCGTCGTCATTCCGTCGAAGCAGCGCCCACGCAAGATCAGACTCATCGACAGCACCGGCACCGTACGTGTAGCGCCGATGCTGTTGTTAACGCTGCCTTGACCATGGTGCTGGTGGGGTGGATATGTTTTTTGTGTTGTGTGAGTGTGTTCTTCTGTGGCTGGTGCTGATTATGCGCTGAATTTGCTTTCAAGTTACATTACAGCAGCCACAGGTCTCTGTGCCGTCATATACTGCACACATTGCACATGCCTACTCACCCCCCCCTCTCCGTTTGTCGTGTACGCCAACAGACGCAGCAATATCTGCTGAAGGGGCAGGAGGACCCGCGCATGGACGAGCGCGTTATGACATTTCTCGGTCTCGTCAACACCCTCCTCGCAGGCGATCCATCCACCCGCAGGTGCCGCACAGGGGCCATCTGGCGTGTGTCTGTTGGTGTGTGTGTGTACGTGTGTGTGTGTTGGTCTGTGTATGTCTGTGTGTTGGTCTGTGTGTGTGTGTGACTGTCGACTGTCATTATCACTGTGGTTTTCACGCTTGTCGTTGTCATTCCGGTGTCATCATGTCACCACCACCACCACCCACCTGTCGAACCACCCACCCTTCCATTCACCACCACCACCACCACCACCACCACCACCACCACCACCACCACGACGACGACGACGACGCCATGGCAGCGATTATCTGTTCATTCGCCGGTACTCGATCACGCCGCTGTCGCCGGACACGGGCCTGATTGGATGGCTGCACAACTGCGACACATTCTTCGAGCTCATCCGTGGATACAGACAACAGAACAAGGTGCGCCATGCGCGTGTTGGAGAGGTGGTTGTGCTCGGATTTGGCATTTGGAGCGAGGCCAACTCTCCCATGCCAATATTATGTATGACCGCGTTTGTGTATCCACGCATGACTGCAAAGGGGTTGACAACACCCCATGCATACAAACAAGTTCACTCACCAACTCACCAACTCACGTACTCACTCGCTCACACACACACACACACACACACACACACACACACACACACACACATACACACACACACACACACACACAGATTTCGCTGATGGCTGAGCACCACTACATCCGCAAGCACGTGCCCGAGACTGTGGACAAGCACGGCCGGCGCACGGACGAAGGATACGAGCGCCTGCCCGCGCGGATTCGAAAGCGCATCCTCATCAACGCCTGCAAGGAGACACGCGGCGATGACCTGGCAAACGTGCGCTGGCGGGTGGCTGCAATCGAGTGGTGGTGTTGGTGGTGGTGGTGGTTGTTGTTGTTTAAGTTGTTTAAGTTGTTGTTGTTTAAGTTGTTGTTGTTGTTGTTGTTGTTGTTGTTGTTGTTGTTGTTGTTGTTGTTGTTGTTGTTGTTGTTGTTGTTGCGATGCTTATTCAATGCGTCACCTGTGCACTTGCGTTTAAACCGCTGCTAAGTGCAAATCAAATTTCTTGTCGGTTTTGCCCCCCCCCTCGCTGTTTGTTACATGCATTTCACCACCGCACACGACTTCCTTGCCCCCCTCCCCCTCTCGTGCCAGGTGCTGGTGTCCAAGTCGCCTGATTCCGAGACGTGGGTGCGCCGCCGCACGGCCTTCATGCGCTCGCTGGCAGTCATGTCCGTCACGGGATATGTGCTCGGTGGGTCGCATACGCACACACACACACACACACACACACACACACACACACACACACACATTTGTGTGCATGCCGTTCATGGCTGGACTGATGTTGCGCTTGCAGCTGTCTCTTGCTTCCCCTGCATGCTGACTTCGAACCTCCTCTGACTTCTCACTCTTCCGATCTGTCTCCATCACACGTCACCTCACCCCACCCGCGGTAACCTTCTTCTCGGTTGGCAGGCCTTGGTGATCGGCACTTGAGCAACATCATGCTCGACAGGACGACGGGAGAGGTGCGGTCATGATCACGGAGTGAAACCACTGTCAAGGAGCACTGACCTGCTGCGAATTAGAGAGCGAAGCGGGCTTGTGAAACACTTGCAAGCTCACCCACTACCTCTCTCCTCTCACCTCTTCTTTCCAACACACATATGTGCACACACACACACACACACACACACGCAACAGATTATCCACATTGACTTTGGCGACTGCTTTGAGGCGGCGCAGGAGCGCGACAAGTACCCCGAGCGCGTGCCGTTCCGGTTGACGCGCATGCTGCGGCGAGCGATGGAGGTTGGCGGCATCTCGGGCACATACCGCACGACGTGCGAGAAGACAATGCACGTGCTGCGGGACCACAAGGACAGCCTGCTCGCTGTGCTGGAGGCGTTTGTGTACGACCCGCTCCTCTCATGGAAGCTCGTGCAGGTGTGTGTATGTGTGTGTGTGCGTTGTCTTGTGTTGTGTTGTGCTCGTTGTTGTGTGTGTGCAGGTGTGTCTTTGGAGTGTGTGTCTCTTGGAGTGTGTGTATGTGGGCGTTGTCTTGTGTTGTGTTGTGCTCGTTGTTGTGGTGTGGTGGGTCATGATGTGTTTTCTCAACGAAGCGAGGCACCGCTCTATGGACGCGCTCAGATGTCCCTCAGTCTCCATTTAGACGCTTTTCTCACCGCATGTCACACAAACATCCACACATACACACACATACACATATTGCTGTGTGCAGCCTGGGGAAGAAGTGGAGATGGAGTTTGACATGGATGGCACATCGAGATACGAGCGCTCGGTGCAGAGCTTGTCCGACCACCTGAAGAAACACCACCACCACCACCATCACCACCATAAGCAGCACGGGGGCGTGACAGCGGCCCTCTCTCGGCAGTTGTCGCGCGAACCGTCAGGACGAGGGCAGGCACTTCGACAGCGAAGGCGCATCCCGTCCACATTGCTCAGTGCGTTGACCAGTGGTGCTGCAGCTCTGTTTTTTCCGGGGATGATTGATTGCGTTGGACTCAAATGATGCTTTGTCGCCACAATCACGCACACCATCACACCCGCACTCTTGCTCACACACCAATACCCACGCCAACACTCACGCTAACACTCACACCAGCACTCACGCTAACACTCACACCAACACTCATGCTCATACTCACGCCCCCCAACACACACACACACACACACACACTCACTCATGCACTCGCTGCAGCGTCCACGTCGATGGAGGATTTGGAGACGGCGGCGGTGGTGGCGGAGGATGTGATGAACGAAAAGGCGTTGGCGATTCTGGAGCGCGTGGAGCTGAAGCTCACGGGCAACGACTTCTCGTCGGCGCTGACGCCGTCTGTGGACGAGCATGAGGCCGCGTTCAAGGACCGCAACGGCATGGTGGAGGGCGAGTGGAAGCTGTCGCGAAAGGGGGTGCTGATTCGCCCCGGCGCCACGCCGGACTCGTTCCCGCGCGGCGTGTCCGTGTCTGAGCAAGTGGAGTTTTTGATTCGGGAGGCGAGCGACCCTTACAACCTGTGCCAGGCCTTTTTTGGCTGGTACCCGTTCTGGT